TATATTATATATATATATATGTATATATATATATATATATATATATTTATGTAATACATATTTATGTAATATATATTTATATAGTGAAGGAGTAACACAGTACAGAGGTCAGGTGTAAATAATGCAGAGTGCAGAGGTCAGGAGTACATAATGCAGAGTCCAGAGGTCAGGAGTATGTATGGCAGAGTTAAGAAGTCAGGAGAAATATATCATTCAGCGTAAGGAGTAAGTAAGGCAGAGTTTAGAGGTCAGGAGTATGTAACGCAGAGTTCAGCAGTAAATAAGGCAGAATTCAAAGGTCAGGAGTAAATAAGGCAGAGTGCAGAGGTCAGGTGTAAATAAGCCAGAGTTCAGAGGTCAGGAGTAACTAGCAAGGCAGAGGTCAAGAGTAAATAAGGTAGAGTGCAGAGGCCAGGAGTAAATAAGGCTAAGTGCAGAGGTCAGTAGTATCAGAGGTCAATAACAAATAAGGGAGCGTGCAGAGGTCAGGAATAACTAAAGCAGAGTTTAGAGGTAAGGAGTAACACGCAGTGCAGAGGTCAGGAGCAAATAAAGCAGAGTGCAGAGGTCAGGAGCAAAAAATGCAGCATGCAGAAGTAAATAATGCAGAGTTTAGAGGTCAGGAGTAAATAAGGCAGTGTGCAAAGGTCAGGGGCAATAGTTGCAGAGTATGTACACACATATGCACTGTAGACATCAGAAAACTGACAGCTAGTATCCTTATACAGCCTGCTGCACCCGCCCCCCTTCCCTGCTGCTCTCCCACCCCCATTTACAGGCCACAGATTCCTGCTCTGCAACATATGTCACCTGGGCCCACCAGATCATCTGATCAATGCTTAAACAGGTGCTGCTAGTAGGGTGGGACCTTGGTCATACTGCAGAACTGATTAAATCTCTCCCATCTTCTCCGCTTCTTGCAGGCCTCACTGTCTCTAAACAACCGAAGTCACATGCACACTATGTTGCCAAAAGTATTGGAACGCCTGCCTTTACACGTACACGAACTTTAATGGCGTCCCAGTCTTAGTGTGTAGGGTTCAATATTGAGTTGGCCCACCCTTTGCAGCTATAACAGCTTCAACTCTTCTGTTCACAAGGTTTAGGAGTGTGTCTATGGGAATGTTTGACTAGAATGAGAAGGCCGGGCTCGCAGTCTCCGCTCTAATTCATACCAAATGGTGTTCTATCGGTTTGAGGTCAGGACTCATGTTGGAACTGTAAGGGGCCATCCCCAAACTGTTCCCACGAGGTTTGGAGCATGAAATTGTCCAAAATGTCTTGGTATGCTGATGCCTTAAGAGTTCCCGTCACTGGAACTAAAGAGCCAAGCCCAACCACTAAAAAACAACCCCACAACATAATCCCCCTCCACCAAACGTTACACTTGGCACAATGCAGTCAGGCAAGTCCCGTTCTCCTGGCAACTGCCAAACCCAGACATGTCCATCGGATTGCCAGGCAGAGAAGCGTGATTCGTCACTCCAGAGAACACGTCTCCACTTCTCTAGAGTCCAGTGGCAGCATGATTTACATAACTGCATCTGACGCTTTGCATTGCACTTGGTGATGTAAGGCTTGGATGCAGCTGCTCGGCCATGGAAACCCATTCCATGAAGCTCCTAAATTATGCTTTTACTATACATTAAATTACAAAATGTTGGTACTCTGGTACTCACCAGAAATATGTTGCCCATCTTGACTGCCAGTTTCAAGTGAGGCACCAGTGGTAGGGATACTGTTAAGATCACCAAATTTGGCTGTGAAAGATATTACAATTGAAAAAAATAATTTGATCCATGCAGAAAGTTATACTAATTCAGGGAGCTCTAATAAATTGAGCATTAAACATATGACACTGCAGCCTGAGGGCGGCAGTATTCATCCTCAAGATTAAGTTTTTGTTTTTTTTAAATGAATGTCATAGCTGATCACATGATCGTGAACCACCTTGACTGGTTCCCAATCATCAGTGAAGACATGATCCCTACTGACAGACCAATTGAGTGCTACAAAGTGTTGGCTGTTGACTGTTTAAGTGGGGATATGCATAAACGTATCTACGGCATGGGGCATTGTGGTGGGGAACAATTATATATACTGTAGATTGTTGGTGGGAAGGGATTATTAGGGCAAAAGAAGAGGGTAGTAACTAGTGATGGGTGAATTTACTTGGGTCCGATCACAGGTGTGTTTGGCAGATTTTTTAAGTGATTTCTTCATTTTCAAGGTGAATAAGCAAAGGTTATGTGAAACAAAAGGTATGGGGAGCTGGGCACTGCCCTGGGGTACCATACTACTCTTTTAACAAGACTTAAAGGCCAACATTAAAAATACAACATTCCTTTAAATAGCATGCTTGGGGGAATGCCCTAAACATGAAGTGGCACACCTGTAGGATATACTAAAGCAAAAGTGGCATTTAAATAAAAAAATGCCACTAAATTAAAATTTTTTACCAGCATGGCCTCCCCCACAAAAACCTGCACCATACCTTTATTCTGGATTCTTGACACAAAAAACAAGCCGTGGCTCCCTCCCCCAAATATATCCCAGACCCTTATCCTTGATGATTATGGATTTTAAGGGGTAAGGATTTTAAGGTGGGGGGCTCAAGCAAAAAAAAAAACAGCATGAAATCACCCAAAATCTATACCAGACCCATTTCCAGGAAAGGGGGAGCCCTCTCTCTTAAACTATACGTGACCCCTTCCCCTAACATGAGTAGAGTACCTCATTCCCACATCCAGTCCCCAACAGAATGTGGGGGTCTGCAGGAGGGTGGGGGGTGGACTCCGGAATCTGGGAGCTCCCTTTAAGATAAGAGGGCCCCCAAATATCCAGTACCCCTTGTTATGTAAATGAGTAAAGCCTGCACAGAATCATTTGTTGCTAGAACGCAGGACGCAGCAACGCCAGCATCCTGACAACAAATGGGGGAGTGGATGCAAGGTCCTGAGCAGGAAGCTGTCACATTTAGAGTGCTGGTGGTACTACTGCTACTAAATGAATTACTTCCTACAGCAGCCGGAGGTTACCTTCAGGGCACGGGTAAACAGGCCATCTAGTTCACCTGTTCAGCGAACCCTGAACAGAGAGATGTAAACCCTGCATCGTTTCGAACTCAAAACCCATCCCTAGTAGCAGCCTATAGCAAACAACATGCTCTAATTTTCATTGTTTCAGCTGAAAACGTATTAATTGCTACAGATTACTGCACCTGGCACCTCTTTGATAAGTTTTGCGCCTATTAATAAATCTGTCATTATGAATTGACCTGAATGGCTGTATAATACAGGGTGGCATGCAACTGAGGTACATACTGTATATCCAAAAATTTATATTGCTACCCAACTGCCTATTTAATAACAGTTTGGCTCCATTGCTTTGAAGGTATCACAGCATCTTCCTCTACTCTCTACCAAAGATAACATTTTGATGGAAATGATTGAATACTCACACGACATGGTTGCTTCTCAAATATTCCTGGTAACACAAAACATAATGTTAGCATTAAGAGTTTTGTTATTTTAGAAAATAGTTATCAAATGAGCGTGCAATAAAATAAAATATGATGCCCATTTTATGTATGTCTGACGCACACTGTATGTCCACTGCTAGCAAGTAAAACACACGTTTTTATTTATATATTATTCAAATATTTTTTCATTTTTGTATCATTACTTTTTCAGCCTCATTTTACACAATACATTTTGGGACAAAGATTATTGGAGCCTATAAAGCAGTTTCCACTTTAATAAAAAAAAAAAAAAATTTCATATTCTTTATCTTCCTTTATTTTAGTTAACTATCAAGTGGCTTCATCAGGAATACACAGTATATAGATACACACACACACACACACACACACACACACACACAGTATAAATACAATCAGGTTCTCTCTTCAGTTTGTTCAGTTAAGATTTGAAAACTAGAGAGAAGCGTTGACTAGCATTTTTCAGCCCCTGATCAATGCAGGGACACATATAAAACTATTTTTCAAGCTTTCTATGTGCCCTATTCACACCACAATGCTGCCTTGTGGTGGGTTGCAGTACCTTGTGAAAAAATGCAGACATGCTGTATTTGTTCACACTGCATCTCAGCTCATCCATGTCAGCGTTGGTCAGCTCATCGCTTATCATCAGACACTAAAAATTATTATCTTTTACATTTCAATAAAGTTTAAATAAAAACATGTAAACAGTGTCTTGTGTTAGAACAGTCTGTACAATAGGTAATTTAATATGCCAACTGGTGTGAATGAGCCCTTAATGTGCAGATCCTTTGCATACTCAATATATCTACTGTTGCCTTGATCTGCAGTCAACCTCTTTTTTTTGTGAATTACTTATGGTAAAAAAGACAAAGTTGTACAAACACAAATATAACATCAGCACAAAGGGTTGAAACAGCAAGCCAATTCCTATATAACAAGTATCCATGAATAGGAGTCAAACACACAAACCAGGAATGGCCTGTAAGTAGCTCCAAATCAGCCAAGAGGTTTATCTGATACACAGGCAAGGTGCCTTTTTGCGCCCCGACCCCGACCCCCTGTGATCCTGACACGCGCGGCACCTCAGGCAGTCGCCGGCCAGCTAAATTAGGACCCAACCTGGAGCTCCTCCCACCGGACCAGCGCTGACTCGCCGCTGCTCTCCCGCGCCGAAGGTAACGGAAAAAAAAAAATGAAACAGCAAGCCAATTCCTATATAACAAGTATCCATGAATAGGAGTCAAACACACAAACCAGGAATGGCCTGTAAGTAGCTCCAAATCAGCCAAGAGGTTTATCTGATACACAGGCAAGGTGCCTTTTTGCGCCCCGACCCCGACCCCCTGTGATCCTGACACGCGCGGCACCTCAGGCAGTCGCCGGCCAGCTAAATTAGGACCCCACCTGGAGCTCCTCCCACCGGACCAGCGCTGACTCGCCGCTGCTCTCCCGCGCCGAAGGTAAGGGAAAAAAAAAAAACATAGCGCAAACATCGGGGCATTTTGACCAGTACAAGTACTTGTTAAAATGCCCTGTTTTTTCCGCCCTCACCCTACAGCGCCCTCAGGCGGCCGCCTGACTTGCCTTGCAGTAGCGCCTGGCCTGCTGATACACACGTGTGGGGAAGGATCTATGTTTTGCAGGCCAGTTCCAACCCCATCCTAGTTCATACAGCTTATAAAGGTTCACACATCATAAAATTATAATTATACATAATTGGTTGGTTAAACAAAATCCCAAAAATGCTTCCAAACCTGAAACAGCATTATTTAAGACTGTTTCTGACGTCTACATAGCAAGTGTCTGAGTTTAGATAAGCTAAAACCCCTGAAATGGTGATTTATCTTTCCAAAGACTTAAAGTGACATTAAAGTCAAAGATTTTTTCCCCTCCCCCCAATGTTAATTAAAACACTTACCTTAAATGATGTTTCCTAATCCGATCTTCTTCTTTCCTGTCCTTTTCATCTGTCCCTCCAGCGCTGCTGCGGGTCTCTAATCCAGCGCTGACTCCTCGGTCCTTGCTGGCAATGTAGCTCAATGTCTCTCAAAGTCGCTCAGCTCAAATCAGCGCTTTTTTATGTAGCTCAGTGTGAATGGGGTCTAACTGTCAACAAAAATGTACCTTATTTGTGTATCACTCAGCTGTAGATCCTCAAATAATCTCTGAATTCATGCTGACACTGTCCTTCCTTCTGGAGAGTGGCTGCAGGGACCACTCCCTATGGTCCCTGTGTGTGTTGTAAAGTAGACACCACTCCAAGCTCATTCCTGAAATAGACTACAATCTATATACAACTAAACAGGAGATTGTAGTCCATCACGGGAACGAGCTTGGAGCGCCGACTACTTTACAACACACACAGGGACCATAGGGAATAATAGAAGCCCCCTCCAGAAGGAAGGACAGCGTCAGCACCAATTCAGAGATGATTTGAGGATCTACAGCTGTGTGATATACAAATAAGCTACATTTCTGTTAATAGTTTGTTAATAGTTAAGGTGCATGAATGCATTTTTAAAATGTAACTCCTGAGTTCAGTGTCACTTTAAGTTAGATCAAAACCTTTTCCTGCATATTTCAAACATGTTTTAGTCAGGTAAATATGAAATACTGCATATGGCACCCCAATGCATTCTACAGTGAAGCACAATGGACCGCAGCACAATGCACATACCTCATATTGTGGTGTGCTGAGTTACTAATAAATCCATGTCAGTTTTTTTTGAACCGGTGTGGTCAATTGGCATTGTGCGTGGTTTGGGGTTGACAATCATCTATCCCAAAATGCCTGTAATTGTTCCATAACGATTACATGCAGACTACTGCTGACAGATATGGCCGATGCCACCCTGTCATTAACTTGAACGTGCACAGCAGCTGTATCTGAATGGGGACACCTGGGATTCCTGCTGCAATAATCCATTAGGTCTTTGTCACAGGAATCCCAGAATCTTAAAACACAAATAACTATGGCTGTCATTTGGAGTTATGTAACTGTCTTCCCTTATCTCTGCTCCCTTCCTGACAAACCTGAGCACAGTCAAATGGTGGCAGGGGGAGAGGGTTTTTAGCCCTGTGTAAGCTCTGACCAGGTCATCTTGGAACTTACACTGGGTTCTTTCACTTTGCTCTGGCTGACAAACAATGTACAGGGAGAGGACGGGAAAGTCAAGTATCAGCAGCCATTAAGTGAACCTGTTATTTTACCCAGAATGGGGCAATTTATTGTGACAAATACCCGTAATTTGTGCTCATGAGTTGTCTATGTGCTTCATCCACCAAGCTTTGCTGGAGTGGCATCATGTGACAGTGGTTCTGTGATGGCCAATCAGTGCAGTAAACATCATATTAGGAGGGATTGGCTAGATCAGAACCCATGAGCATGCTCAGAACTGGAGTAGACTTGTTCCTGCCACTCCCCTGCTGGGATGTTGGTGCCCAGGTGCTGGGCGGCTGCCTAGGCCTGAGGGCTAGGCCCTCAAGGCCTAACTTCATGGAATGCCATGTGCCATCTAATTTTGCTGGATCCACTACAGGGACCTAACCCATGTTAACAGAGGTGATGGGGACACTGGAGTCACCACAGGAACCTCCACTGGTCCAGGCTACAGTTTGTTCTGAAGCAGAGTATACACTGGAACATCTGTGGGAATGGTGACACTTCTGGCCTATTGAGAGGGAGAAGATGGACCTTCCATTAGGATCTGTACGCCTTACAAGAAGTGATTCTACTCTATTACCAGCATTTTTGGGTATTCCAGCATATCTATCTACAACCACTATGCCAAGTTCTACAATAAACGTTTAAAAGGCATCCATGGACTCTCGATCTGCTTACTCCTGCAAGAGGACTTATGTGAGTAAATACACCTGGGGACAAGGTTATCTCATCGGGGGGTCCCACTTGTAACAACAAGGCCCAGTTGAGTGGAGGCACTGCCATTACCAATTGATTACAGCCCTTGACTCCCACTTAGCAGGGGCTCAGGACTTCTAAATTACCCACAGGTTGGCAGCGGTAGTTGATCGGAGACGGTCATCTCATATGAACCCGAAACAGGGCTACACATGCATGCTGAAAAAACCCAATTGCAATTAAAAAGTGCAAACTGGGTAGAAGAACTTTAGGGTTCAGTTTGTCTAACTTCTATTGTAAAAATCATATAGTTTACAGAGCTCAATAGCTCAAACTGAAATTTACACACACAAGGGAATGAATCAGAGCAGTGACTGCACTGTACAAGGTTTCCTTGGACAGAAAAGGATCAATTCACAAAGCTAGGATAAGCATACTTATTCTCAAACAAGTGACAGTTATTTTTAGGTAAAACCAATGAGGTTTATAAAATGAAAGTCACGTGGCTAAAGTAAAGTTTCTTATTCTTGTGTTAAAGCTTTGGGAATTGAACCTTTTGTCTAAAAAAAGATAACTTCTTCTGTGTTCTTTCTATTGAAAACCCATAGCACTCTGGGAAATCTTGAGGACGTTACACAGGAACCAGCCCACATGTAACCATACTCAAACTTGGCATTTGGCTTCTCTGGCACTGAGTGATATAATGTGGGGTGGCAGGGTGTGTTTCCCATTTCCCCCCATACCTGGGAGTAGGCAGTATGCTGCCTGACAGTGGATTAGGGCTGTGAGAGAGCAAAGGTAAGGTAAGTACAGTCTGCTTAAAGTATATCTAAAGCATAAACTGTTGTTTTTGTTGTAGATAGGCAATGGTTAAAGCCCTTGTAATTTTATGCCATCTGTGTTCCATTCAAGAGATTTAACTCTCAACTTTCTATTCTGTAGTCATAACAAAGTAAAAGTGAGCTATCCAAATCGATGTAGATCCCATCTTTATTTTGTGATTTTGTGTTTATTTTGTGTTATGATTTTATGCATGAAGGTTACAGAAGTACAGTAATAGAATTATGCTGTGTGTAGACAGTAACGACAGTAACGACAGAAATAAGAACGTGTCTACAGAGAAAGTT